TGCGATTTCAGAATCCAGATTAACTGAATTGAACTGCATTATATGACAGTGTGGACTCAAGTAATGTTGAATTAATAAAACAAAAATTAAAAGTCTAGAAGAATAAGATATTAAGGGCATATAGCAAGGGTCCTCAAACTTTTTAAACAGAGGGCCAGGTCACAGTCTCTCAAACTGTTGGAGGGCCAGATTATAATTTGAAAAAAGGATGATGAATTCCTATGCACATTGCACATATCTTATTTGTAGTGCAAAAAACGCTTAAAAACAATACAATAATTAAAATGAAGAACAATTTTAACAAATATAAACATTAGTATTTCAATGGGAAGTGTGGGCCTGCTTTTTGCTGATGAGATGGGATTGTTGTTGTTGTTGTGTGCTTTCAAGTCGTTTCAGCCTTGGGTTGACCCTGAGAGAGGGCCAGGTAAATGACCTTGGAGGGCCGTATCCAGCCCTCAGGCCTTAGTTTGAGGACCCCCTGGCATATACATTTTAATGGGGGAACCACCAAGCAAAGTCCAGAATTATCAGCTATGAAGGCCCCCTGGTAGCGCAGCGGGTTAAACCAATGAACTTCTTGACTAAAAGGTTGGCAGTTCAAATCTGGGGAGCAGAGTGAGCTCCTGTTGTTAGCCCCAGCTTCTGCTAATCTAGCAGTTCAAAAACACACAAATATGAGTAGATCAATAGGTACCACTTCTGCAGGAAGGTAACAGTGCTCCATGCAGACATGTGGGCTACATGACCTTGGAGGCGTCTATGGACAATGCTGGCTCTTCGGCTTAGAAATGGAAATGAGCACCAACCCCCAGAGTTGGACACGACTAGTCTTAATGTCAAGGGGAAACCTTTACCCTTACTTATATAACATTATATCAGCCCCTTGTGGCACAGTGTGTTAAACCACTAAGCTGCTGAACTTGCTGACCAAAAGGTCAGCAGTATGAATCCAGGGAGAGAGGTGAGCTCCTGCTGTTAGGCCCAGTTTCTGCCAACCTAGCAGTTTGAAACATGTGAATGTGAGTGGATCAATAGGTACCACTCCAACAGGAAAGTAACCACTATCCATGTGGTCATGCTGGCCACATGACCTTGGAGACGTCTACGGAAAACACCGGCTCTTCGGCTTAGAAATTGAAATAAGCACCACCTCCCAGAGTCAGACAGGACTAGACGTAATGTCAGGGAAAACCTTTACTTTACCTTTACTACACATTTTAAAGGGGGGATAGTACAAAACAATCCAATATTATAAGATGTATTATTTACTGTATTTGTATACAGCCCTTCTCAGCCCTCAGGTGACTCAGGGTGGTTTACAGAGGCAGCAATTCGATGCCCAAGAAAATCATAAAACATTTACTTAGGTGATCCCTCATTGGACGAGTAGGATAGCCTTCCATGATCAATATTCTTGTGGATCCGTAGGTGGCTGTGGAGCCCTATTCTTGACCAGCATCTTCTCCCATCGTGAGGGCATTGGTTTCCAGGTGGAAGGCGGTCTCGGTCGGGATTGGCTTGACGTGCCTTTCTCCTGGCACGTTTCTCTCTTTCGTCCTCCATTTGTGCCTCTTCAAATTCTGCAGCACTGCTGGTCACAGCTGATCTCCAGCTGGAGCGCTCAAGGGCCAGGGCTTCCCAGTTCTCAGTGTCTATGCCAGAGTTTTTAAGGTTGGCTTTGAGCCCATCTTTAAATCTCTTTTCCTGTTCACCAACATTCCATTTTCCGTTCTTGAGTTCAAAGTAGAGCAACTGCTTTTGGAGACGGTGGTCCGGCATCCGGACAACGTGGCCGGTCCAGCGGAGTTGATGGCGGAGGACCATCGCTTCAATGCTGGTGGTCTTTGCTTCTTAAAGTACACTTGTCCACTTGAGAGTTGCAGGATTTTCTGGAGGTCGCGCTGATGGAATCGTTCCAGGAGTTGCATGTGATGCCTGTAATAATAATAATAATAATAATAATAATCCTTTATTTGTACCCCACTACTATCTCCTGAAGGACTCGGTGTGGCTTACAAGAGGCCGAGCCCAAATGCAACAACAAAAACAACAGCAACAACAATGCAATAATTCAAAAAACAAAGCAATAACATTAACAACACCCAATGACGCAAATAAAAACAATGGCCGGGCCAAATGTAATAATTAAAAATTAAAAGTGCTGGGCATGGCAAGGTGGGGAGTTTGGAGGGGGACGGGCATGCAGATATCCAGAATCTCTGATAAAGTGCATTGGGAGATAATGCTAGGAGTTTCCTTATTCTGGAAAGGCACATTGGAACAACCACATTTTCAAGCTCCTCCTAAAGATTGCTAGCAACGGGGCCTGCCTGATGTCCTTAGGGGGAGAGTTCCAGAGTCGAGGGGCCACCACTGAAAAGGCCCTATCCCTCGTCCTGAAACAATCGCGCTTGTGATGCAGGTGGGATCTCGCACTTGCTGAGATGTTCCAGCAAGTGTCTCTGTAGATCTTAGAAAACTATTTCTTGATTTAAGTCATTGACGTGCTGGCTGATACCCAAACGGGATGAGCTGGAGATGTCTCTGCCTTGGTCCTTTCACTATTGGCTGCTACTTCCCGCGGATGTCAGGTGGTGCAATACCGGCTAAGCAGTGTAATTTCTCCAGTGGTGTAGGGCGCAGACACCCCGTGATAATGCGGCATGTCTCATTAAGAGCCACATCCACTGTTTTAGTGTGGTGAGATGTGTTCCACACTGGGCATGCATACTCAGCAGCAGAGTAGCACAGCACAAGGGCAGATGTCTTCACTGTATCTGGTTGTGATCCCCAGGTTGTGCCAGTCAGCTTTCGTATGATATTGTTTCTAGCACCCACTTTTTGCTTGATGTTCAGGCAGTGCTTCTTGTAGGTCAGAGCACGGTCCAGAGTGACTCCCAGATATTTGGGTGCGCTGCAATGCTCCAGTGGGATTCCTTCCCAGGTGATCTTCAGAGCTCGGGATGCTTGTCTGTTCTTGAGATGAAAGGCACATGTCTGTGTTTTAGATGGGTTGGGGATCAGCTGGTTTTCCCTGTAATAGGCAGTGAGAGCACCTAGAGCTCCTAATTAAAAACATTATTATGTATACATTCTTTGGTGGGATTAAGAAAGACAGAATTATACATTGTTATTGTTGTCTTTTGGGGGGCTCGCTGCATCTATATATATAAAAATGCTCTGGTCATAATGAGTACCTTAGAAACCAAGAACCAGTGAACGAAATCACACCAAATTTGGCAACAAAACATCTCACAACACAAGGAGTGACCATCACTCAAAAAATTATGATTTTTTCATTTAGGAGTTGTAGTTGCTGGGATTTATAGTTCACCCACAATCAAAGAGCATTCTGAACTCCACCAACAATAGAATTGAACCAAACTTGGCACATAGGACTTCCATAATCAACAGAAAACACCAGAAGGGTTTTGTGGGCATTTATCTTGCAGCACTGAATTGAACCAAACATGGCACACAGAACACTCATGACCAGCAGAAAATACTAGAAGGATTTGGTGGGCATTGACCTTGAATTTGGGAGTTGTAGTTCACCTACATCCAGAGAGCACTGTGGACTCAAACAATGTTGGATCTGGACCAAACTTGGCATGAATATTCCATATGCCCAAATATGAACACAGATGGAGTTTGGGGGAAACAGACCTTGGCATTTGAGAGTTGTAGTTACTGGGATTTATAGTTCACCTACAATCAAAGACCATTCTGAATGAACCCCACGAATGACAGAACTGGGGCAAACTTCCCACACAGAACCCTCATGACCAACAGAAAATACTGTGTTTTCTGGTGGTCTTTGGTGACCCTTCTGACACCCCCTGGTGACCCCTCCCCCCCAGGGTCTTGACTTTCCAGGTTGAGAAATGCTGCCTTAAGGCCATCCAGTCCAACTCCCTTCACCAGGGCAAGAAAACATAATCAAAGCCCTCCTGACAAAGGGCCATCCAGCCATTCACACACACACACACACACACACACACACACACACACATATATGACAGATGCAGTATCATAGATTTGAAAGGGACCCCTAAAGAAGGACAATGATATGTTGCATGTTCCAGACAGTCTCCACATCAACACTGGCAAAGAAATAGTGTTTACCCACAAGCATAAAGACATTACATATATTATAAACCAACACTTTCTCATTACTTTATTTTCCAGATCACCAGACTGGGCCACAGCAACGCGTGGCAGGGGACCGCTAGTAGCTTTATAGACAAGCACCTTGGTATCCCTACGGATAAAACATTTACATATAGTATAAAACCATAACAAGAGTAATAAAAGCATAAATCATTTGTGTCTCCTAATTAAAAACATTATTATGTATACATTCTTTGGTGGGATTAAGAAAGACAGAATTATACATTGTTATGGTTATGCATGAGTACCTTAAAAACAAAAGCATTCTGAACTTCATCAACAATGGAATTGAACCAATCTTGGCACATAGGACTCCCATAATCAACAGAAAACACCAGAAGCGTTTTGTGGGCATTTATGTTGAATTGTAGTTGTAGTTCACCAACATCCAGAGAGCACTTTGGACTCAAACAATGAGGGATCTGGACCAAACTTGGCACGAATATTCCATATGCCCAAATATGCACACAAATGGAGTTTGGAGGAAATAGACCTTGACATTTGGGAGTTGCAGTTGCTGGGATTTATAGTTCACCTACAATCACAGAGCATTCTGAATCCCACCAATGAATTGGGCCAAACCTCCCACACAGAACCCTCATGTGGGCCACAGTAACGCGTGGCAGGGAACAGCTAGTATTCCTATAAATAAATACACACAAACGCACTCCTTTCCCCATGCCAGTTCCCACAACACTACAAGGAAGTGACATCTCCTTCTGCGCGTGCGCACTGCTACCCTTGGCTTTCAGAAGTCCCCCTCCGGCGCACGCGCAGAGGCGCGGTAAACAGGGGAAGGGCTCTTAGGCCCCGCCCCCTTCCATCCCCGGCGCGAGCGCTCCGTGGGCTTCCCTTCTTCCGCGCTGGGACCGAAGGGGAAAGGCGAGTTCCTCTCCGCCTTTTCGCGCGCCTGCGCACTGGCCCTTACATCCGGGGCCTGGCCACAGGATGAATGCTCCTTTCCAAGATGGCGGCGGAGGGAGGAGGGAAGGAGATGAACGAGATTAAGACCCAGTTTACCACCCGCGAGGGGCTCTACAAGCTGCTCAGCCACTCCGAGTACAGCCGGCCCAACCGGGTGCCCTTCAACTCGCAGGGCTCCAACCCCGTCCGCGTCTCCTTCGTCAACGTCAACGACCAGAGCGGGAACGGCGACCGGCTGTGCTTCAATGTGGGCCGGGAGCTCTACTTCTACATCTACAAGGGGGTCCGCAAGGTAACGCCATGGCTGGAGGGAGGAGGGCGGCCTGAGGCACGGAGAGGGCCCCGAGCCTCTCTCCCCCCATTTATACGCAGTTTCCAAAAACAATTTTGTGCATGAAACAAAGTTTATGCCTTCATGGCCGGAATCACTGGGTTACTGTGAGTTTTCCGGGCTGTCTGGCCATGTTCCAGAAGTATTCTCTCCTGACGTTTCGCCCACATCTATGGCAGGCATCCTCAGAGGTTGAGGGGTTTGTTGGAAACTAAGCAAGTGGGGTTTATATATCTGTGGAATGTCCAAGGTGAGAGAAAGGACTCTTGTCTGTTTGAGGAAAGCCTGGATGTTGCAGTTGGCTAGCTTGATTAGCATTGAATAGCCTTGCAGCTTCAAAGCCTGGCTGCTTCTTGCTTGGAATCCTATGTTGGGATGTGTTAGCTGGCCCCGATTGTTTCCTGTCTGGAACCAGGAAATTCCAAAGGGCCCCCTCCCCCGGATTTCAGTATATCTGAATCGGATTGCCCCCCTCCCTTTTTTTTAATAATTATTTTTTATTGATTTTCAGCAAAGTTACAGTAAAACAATCATTCATAAAAGAAAGAAAAGGAAAAAAAATAGTTCCACCATCACCACAAAAAATTCCTTGACAACATAATACAACAAAACAAAATCAAACCACAACCAACACCCTAGTGTGACTTCCCTTCTTCTTACTTTCCTTAGTTCGTATTCTATCTTCCCCTTTCCTCTTTCCCATTTCTTCCAACAATGTTTACTTATATATTAGGAAGGGGACTATATATGTAACTTCTCACTCTCTTATTTGGTTTAATTTATCCAGTCTTTCCTGTCAATATATTCTTGCAAAAGTTTCCAATCTGTTGATTTTGTACCTCGTCCATTATTTTGCCGTAACCAATATGTTAGTTCATCCATATCTTTAATATCAGTAATTTTTTTAATCCAATCCATTTTTTGAGGAATTTTGTCCTGTTTCCACAGTTTAGCTAAAACCATTCTTGCAGCTGTGGGCCTCCCTCCCTTTTAACATATCGGAAGAGAGTTAAAGCTTGGCTTCATTCATCTGGTGAGGCCCTGCTCACGATCCCACCAGCATCGCAAGCGCGATTGATGGGGACGAGGGACAGGGCCTTCTCGGTGGTGGCCCCACGACTCTGGAACTCCCCCCCCCAAGGACATCAGGCACTGCCCAACACTGGCAGTCTTCAGAAGGAGCTTGAAAACATGGATGTTCCAGTGTGCCTTCCCAGATTAGGAATCCCAAGCAATTGCACTTTATGAGAGAGTTAGATTTGCCTGCATACCCTTCTATTCCCAAAATATCCATTCTACCTCATCTGGACATACCCAGCAATTTTTGAATTTTAACTATTACATTTGGCCCTGCCACAGGTTTTTAACACTGTCGTGCTTTGTTATTGTTTTATTGTTTGCTTATTTATTGTTGCATTGTATTGTTGTCTGTTGTATTTTTGTTAATGATGTACTTTGGGCTCGGCCTCTTGTAAACCGCACCGAGTCCTGCGGGAGATGGTAGTGGGGTACAAATAATGGTTTATTATTATTATTATTATTATTATTATTATTATTATTATTATTTGCAAATCCAGAGTAACAGACATAGGAAAATGGAATGGTTGGGCAATGTGACTGGACGATGTTTTTAACGAGGAGATCCTAATGTTACATGTTTTTATTGATTTTATTGATTCTGTTATGGTTTTATTATTCAACTGTTTTATTATGTTGAAATTGTATTTTATCATCTTGGTACTAACTATAAACCGTCTTGAGTTGCCTGTGGGCTGAGAGGAACGGTATATAAATATAGTAAGTAAATAAATAAAGTCCCAGTTTTCTGAATGTTCCTCCTTATTTACTGTCCTGATTCTGGAGTTTTTTAAAATAGCCAGCTTTTCTTCATTTTCATGGTTTCTTTCATTCTTTTGATATTGTCCACATGCTTGTGGATTTCAATGGTTTCTCTGCATACTCTGATGTTGTGGTTGTTAGAGTGGTCCAGCATTTCCGTGTTCTCTTATATTATGCTGTGTGCAGGTTGGTCCATCAAGTGCTATTCTATGGCTGACTTCTCTGGTGGAATGAGTCATGTTCCTGGATTTGTGTTTGGGCAACGCTGAGTTTGGTGGTTCCTATATAGTCTTGTCCACAGCTGTGTGGTATACTATAGACCCCTGCTGAAGAGAGAGGATCCCTGTTTATCTTGTTCATCTAGAGATATATAAACCTCACTTGCCTGGTTTCCAACAGACCTCATGACCTCTGAGGACGCCTGCCATAGATGTGGGTGAAATGTCAGGAGAGAATGCTTCTGGAACATGGTCATACAGCCCTGAAACCTTAGAGCAACCCAAAGTTTATATCTGTTACACATTAGAAAGCTGAACTATCAGGAAGCAGAGGCTGATTGTAACAGACCGTGGTACATGGTACAGGTTGAGTATACCTTATCTGAAATGCTTGGGACTGGAAGGATTTTGGATTTTGAGGGTCCCCCTCCCCAGATTTCAGTAAATCTGTATATTGTGAGATACCCTGGGGGGGGGGGGGGTTCAATGCTTAACTACAAAATTCAGGCAGACTTTTAAAGATGAAGGTTTTTAAGATCAATTCAGGAGGTGTTGTGGTTTTAGATTTTAATATGCATCAAATAGATTTGGGTGGTTTAATCTGTTTAAATTCAATTCTGGTTTAATATTTGTATATTTTAAATGCTGTGCTAATGTTTTTATGTTAAGCCGCTTTGAGTCCCCTTCTGGAGGCATAAAGCGGGGTATTAAAGAAATATAATAATAATAATAATAATAATAATAATAATAATAATAATACACAGAGCCCGAAGGCTATTTTATATATGATTTTAATTTTAAAATCTAAAATAATGTGCCTGAAACGAAGATTTTGGAATACTTGTACATATGCATATGTGTATTGTACTTACACATATATAGTAAGATAACTTGGAGATGGCGTCAAAATATAAACACAGAATTCATTTATGCTTCATATATCTGAAGGTAATTTTGTATATGGCTTTTGTGCTTGAAACCAAGTTTTTGTATGTCGAACCATCAGAAAGGAGAGGTTGGCTATTGCAACAGTCTCAGGCTGATTATCCGTTATCAGAAATTCTTGGGAGCAGAAGTGCTTTGAGTTTTTCCTTTTGAATTTTTGGTGTATCTGTTTTTATATACATGTATATAATGTCATTTCTTGGAGATGGGGTTCAGGTCTTAAGACTAAAACAGATCCATCGTCAGTGTGGTTCACAGTGATGTCTGCATGTGAGTGAACTGCAGATCGTCCCAGGGCCATTCCCAGTGCTTAAAGTTGGTCATGGGGGGTATGTGTGCCAATTTTGATCCAGATCTGTTGTTGGAGGGAGTCCCGTGGCTTTTGGATGTGGGAAGTACCTTGGAAATCACCCAGAAACAAACATACATACAAACATATTTTAACTTTTGTGATATACTTTTTAGGTACCCTGCAATACCCAGGTTAGGTAATTTGTAATGCTATTATTAGAAAAAGTCATTATTTGTTTTTGGATTTTATGAATGATCCCATTAGAAAATGCATAAAGATATGGGTAAATTACCACTCCTATCATCCCAGGTCCATCCCTCCCAAAAACTGCCCACAATTAAAGTTGGTCATTAGAATTATGCGTGCCAAGTTTGGTCCAGATCCATCACTGGTGGAGTTCAAAGTGCTCTTTGATTGTGGGTGAACTGCAGTTTCCATGAACTCGAACCAGTTCTTAAAGTTGGCCATGAGGGATATGTGTGCCAAGTTTGGTCAAGATGCATCAATGGTGGGTCTTACAGTGCTCCCTGGATGTGGGTAGAGTGCAATTCCTGTCTTCCTTTGCTCCTCAATCCCTGCCAGTATTTAAAGTTAGTCATGCGGGTGGGAGGAGTGTCTGTGTGCCAAGTGTGGTCGATATCTGTTGTTGTGTTGTGTGTGTCACAGGGCTTTCTGGGTGTGTGTGTGTGTGTGTGTGGGGGGGGTGCAGCTCCTAACCCCTTTAGTCTTCAAAGTTGGTAAGGTTGGCTATGCATGCAATCTTTGGTTGGATTCAGGCTGCTCTTTGATCATTGGTGAACTATAACTCAAAATCATAGGGTCAATTCCCCCCAAATTCCTGCAGTATTTTCTGTTGGTCATGAGGGCGTTGGGTCTGTGCGCCAGGTTTGGTACAGATTCATAGTCTTATGTGTGTGTTTGTTGGGGAGGGGGGGTTGTGTGTCACAGGTCTCTCTGGATGTGGGCGCAGTCTTGGAAGTTGTATACAAACATCGCTTTTACTATAGAGATAGATAGGGATATATAGATATTTCTAAGATACATAGATATAGATAAAGTTAATAGCTATCTAGATATATAAATATAATTTTAAAAAGGAAAAGGTTTTCTCTTGACATTAAGTCTATTCGTGTCCGACCCTAGGGGGTGGTGTTCATCTCCATTTCTAAGCCGAAGAGGCGTCGTTGCCCTTCCTGCAGAAGCGGTACCTATTGATCTACTCACATTATTATTTATTTATTACTATTATTAACTTTATTTGTACCTCGCTAAGATCTCCCGAAGGACTCGATGCGGCTTACAAAGGCCAAGGCCACAATAAAAACAACAGCATAACAATACACATAACATTATAAAGCAAATCAAAACGTTAAGCAATAACAGTAAACAATAAAAACAATACACCATAACACGATAAAACTAGGGCCAGGCCGACTGTAATGGGTACAGATTTGCATGTTTTCGAACTGCTAGCTTAGCAGAAGCTGGGCCTAACAGCAGGAGCTCACCCTTCTCCCCTGATTTGAACCGCTGACCTTTTGGTCAGCAAGTTCAGAAGCTCAGCGGTTTAACCCGCTGTGCCACCAGGGGCTGATTATGTTATATAAGTAAAGGTAAAGGTTTCCTTGACATAAAGTCTAGTCGTGTCCAACTCTGGGATGGTGGTG